TAGGAGGTGGTTACCCAGTCCCCCGAGCCTAATGGCTGATGTTAAAAACGCTCGAAAAATAAAATAAAGATGTGTATAGAAATGAAATATATTTACAAGTTAAATATATAATAAAAACGCAAAAGTATCGCCTAGCTCCCTACCCCTGCAAATGTTGGACGCAAAAAAAAGTGCAGAGGCCGTTCAAATGGTATCCAACATTGCACCAACAAAAGAAGCAACATTTTCGCGAAATTTGATTTTGAGGAACTAAGAACTAAAAACCAGACTCTCTCGTCCAGATGAACTAGCCGTCATATTGATTTGTCAATCATGGAGCACTAAGCAATAGCTTGTAAATGTTTGGCAGGGCTAATTACTGGGTCTTTCCGAAGGAAACGCCTGAGGTATAAACTCAGGCAGAAAAGTACCCTGACGGAAAGGTCATAGGAACCCAAGAAAAACTGGGCCGAGAAGAAAAATGTCAAAAACCTTTCCTTAGACATCCCATTCCCTTCACAGAGGACAGAGGAAGAGGAAGAGGCGTGGAAAGAAAGGTGGAGGAAAAGTGTAGATGCTTACTACGACCAAGATAATCCTGTGAAGCAAGAGAGGATGCGTCCCTCAGAAATCCCAAATCCTGAGATGACATTAGTAGAACCGTTGAGACAGCTAGCTAATTTGGTGGATTTTATTAAGCCCGATGTACAACAGCAGCAACCCATTCAACCACCCCCCATTCAACAGTCTATCCCACCACCACCAGTTGAAGTGAATGTCTCGGAAGAAGGCGAGATACCTGAAGCAGGTAATTATCAATACGATACTCTGGAGGATTTACTGGCCAGTGTAGGAGTCTGCTACCCTTGCCCCATTCATAACTCGGGAATGAATGAAGTGCATTCACAGAAAGAATGGGTACAAGACGTCTTTCTCACCTGTTCCGTCGACAATTGCCCTGTGTTTACCAGTTTGAAGGAATACAGTACCTACAACGACCGATGTCGCAGACAGGGTCACGAGTGGTTTACCCTTGACAGGATTGCATCGATGAAGTGCGAGTGTGGCGAGACTCCGACATTGGGCATGTGCAAGTCAGAGGACAATTACAATCAATTGTATCTGCGATGTCAAATTATTTCAGTGGTGGCGATCCCTTCCCAAAGAAAGAAACATGACTATTCTCACGCGTTAATTTAATTTCTTTCTTTAGACTCTAAGACTCAGGACACCGCTGAAGTCGAAGATTTGATCACCATAAGAGTACAAGTATGGGAACATTTATGTATCGGATTGTTAAAATTATTGCGCGAAGTATTTTTATTCGGTTTAGAAGTAATAGAGAATCAATTTATTTCTTAGATCTTGAAGAAGGATTCCAAATAGCTTACGCCATGGGAAACCCGACTAAGCTGGAAGAACATTCTAGAGAAGACATCTTTCAAATAGCACAGTTGATTGGATTTTCCAAATTTAAGAAAGTATCGTCAAGATTAAACGTCACCAAAGACGAATTACAATGTATTAAACGTGATCTAGAATTGTACGAGTATGCTATGGATAAGTAGTGACAAAAAAATAAAATGTGTGATGTAAAGAGTTGTCTGTCATTGTTATTCCAAGCATGGGGAAACGCAGACGAATAAGGAAAGCTAAGAAAAAACAACGAGGGGGTGCTTCTATTAGAAAAGCCAATCAATGGCTTAGAAAAGGCCCTTCACTCACCGATAAGATAGCTTATACATCCAGTATGTTGTTATCGGGCCCCGCTCCCGGATTTGGTAGCCAAGGAATGCTATTAGGAAAACAAGCTTTGAAAGGAATCGTCGATAATGTGAAACATTATAAGAAAAGACGCCGATAAATTTCATCAGTGTTTACCATGTCTCTGTGGTCGAAACTACTTTACGTTCATTACTCTGTACTCTCCTTCTTTTGTCGGAGAATAGAGAATATCGTCGACTCGTCAGAACACAGTCGTGTACTGTATGATATGATTCCTCCTGGATGCGAACTTACCTTGTTCAATTACGTAGTGAGACCTACCTTTTCCCTATCGCAAAGAGTGTTTCACTTGATGTTATTCATGAGATGGTATCGGGGGAAATATACATATAGAGGCTATCGCGAACTGTACTCGCAGTACCTTGGCAAGTATTGGATGACTTACTACTGCGTCAAAGTGTGGATGACGCTAATACTTCTCAAAGCCTATTACGGAATGCAATGCCCAAGACAAAAACTGAACGCAATGAATANATTTTTTTATTTGATTTTTTAATTACGCTACGTGACTACTTGACCTTTTTAAAATGCAATGTTAAAATACTCGCGCCTTCTTTTGAAATATCTGCTAACTCGTTTGTCAAAGTTTCGCTGAGTTGCGTTTCCACGACTTGAAATTGATTGTTCCGTAATTCGATATACTGAATTTGACTCGGATGAAAGTAATAGGTGCCTTTCTCTACTTCTTCCAATGGTACCTGACGCAACAAATCCGCGGTTTGATCTCCCATGAGAACGGGGTCGATCAGTGATGAATATAAGTACAAACTTCTATAAGCTCGATTCTTGAAAGGCACGTGGTCAGAAGAGCGATTTACGTGTAAAAATGTCCACTCTTTTCACTCATTAAAATCGATGCGTCACGGGATTATTTCGATCAACAAACGGAATGTCGTAGGTTTCATCTAACAATTCAACCGTGTCGTAACTTCTATCAAACGTCCATTTTTGTCCAATTTTTCGTACGTCCAAATTAGGTCCAGGTCGCGTGACGTTATCGTTGACTATTGATTGCCCGCTTACTCCTGTACCCGTCACCTGGGATTTTCACGTCCATCCGGAAACTTCGCACAATCCTTTAGCTAATTCAATATACACTTCTCTTCGAATTGTAAAATCTGTCATTTGATCGCGATCGATATTTATCGTATCTATTTCAATGGTACCTCTCTGACGGTCGATAATTGTATCAAATTGAGCTTTTTCACCATCGGAAAAATACTCTCGTAAATGAGCTGGACGATGATAAGTGAAATGAAGATATTCTTCTTTTGAAAGTGCTTCTAACACGTCAAACGATGTATCCATAGGTGACTGAATGTTTTATCATCACTTGTCTATCAGTAGGAGAAAAGGTAATGCGACTGGTTGATAATAGCACGTCGGAATCTTGAAGTGTCTCCAAATATTTTTGTAACTCACCATTTGATTCTCCTATTTTTCGCGTGGGCACACTAAGACTTGATAATCCCACTTGCCAAGTCCCTTCTAAACGAGTGGTTCGATCCAATCGATTTTTCCACGAGCGGTTTGAATTATCCGGATAATACTTTTTACTGGCATCGTTACTCGGTAATGTTAAAAAAAATTCCCCCTGTGAATCATCCTCAACTTCCATCTTGATTTCCACTTTGGTTTTCAAATTGTTTTAAATGCTCTTTATACGCTCGCACTCTTAAAGTCCAAAATGCTACTCATTCTTCATGCGACTTTGTTGGATTAAACACATCATACGGTTTATCTTTATGCATTTTCCAGAGAAGATCTTCATACTCCTGTTCTTTCTTCTCCTGTTCTAAACGTTCTGTTCGCTCTTGCTCTGTTTCCATGCTGTGTGTATGTGTGTGTTTGTGTGTGTGCAACCACAAGACGAAATGATAATCTAGTCTGAAAGTTCAGCCTCTTTATCCCATTCGTGACTGTCAAATATGTGCTCCACGTAATTATAAATAGATTTCATGATTTCGTTCCTGTGCCATTGAAATGTGTCGTCGTATGTAAATTTATTGTTTGGATATGTTTCCTTTGATTCTCTAACCACCTCATCGAAATTATGCGGTTTCATATAAGCGCGAGCGTGTCGCATCATTCTCCTTAAAGAATCCTCGTCGGCAAACGAAATGATATCCAAAATACTTTCAATCTCCAACACGGATACTTTTGGATTGTCCACGATGTAATTCTGTCTTTCTACCGCATTCATGGCCATCCTTCTCGT